CGCCAGGGACTCGCCGGTCCTCTCTTAGGAATGTCCTTGGACATTACCAAGGCCTTCAACTACATTCCAAGAGAGGCTGCGTTCGCTATCCTCGGGCGTCTTGGGCTAGCCGATTGGTTGATCTCAGCCTGGCGTAGCAATTTGTCTCGCCTTCATAGACGGGCTAAGGTTTCAGGCACGCTCAGCAGGGCTGTGCTATCGTGCACTGGCTTCCCAGAAGGATGCCCCATGTCTCCCATTGCGATGTTGGCAATTGGCACAGTCTGGCACAGGGTGACCAGCTTGCCTTCGCCGCTACTCAAAGTTGATAGTTTTGCTGATAACTTCAACCTCAGCTGTGATAGCATTGCAAATTTGCTTCCTGGCCTAGAACTTGGGACCAAACTCCTCACAGCGTTGGACTTGCATATCAACGCCGCCAAGTGTGCGATTTGGTCGACTGACCCGAGCATACGCTCAGAACTTGACAAGTTTGAGTTCTGCCTCGGTAAGCCGTCTCATGTTTACGATGTCCGGGAACTCGGGGGCCACTTCAGTTTCACAAGGGCAGTCCGGAACAAAACTGTCCAAAAACGGGTGAACGAAGCCACCGCCACACTAGGTAGAATTGCTAGGCTGCCTGCGCCGTTTGCTCGAAAAGTTGGACTCACCCGTCGTGCCGCCCTGCCCAAGGCAATTTGGGGTCTCCAGTTGACCAGACTAGGGAAAAAACGCATAGACAGCCTAACTGCAGCTGCCAAAACAGCTGTCGGCCTTGGCCATGCGGGTTCGTCCCCTTATGTTGCTCTAGCAGTAATTAATGAGGAGGACACTCACCCCGCCTTTGCCATTCACCGCCATAGGATTCACTCCTTCTGGAAATGGCTGCGCGGTCCAGAAAGCAGCAGGCATGACCTCAGCCAAATGTGGGCTGCGCAGCTTGTCCAACCTGGTGACGGGCCTATCAGCCTGCTAGGAGAGGCATTAGCCGCATGCGACCTTGATCTTGACCTTGATCTTAATCTTGTGACTCCGTTTGGACTGATTGAGCTAAGTACCAGCCCCTGGAGGACGGTCTACCGCTCACTCGTTTACGGATTTCATAGGGCCGAGGGTCTATACCTCTCGCACCGAAAAGTTTTAGGTCAAGTAGGAACAATTGATGCCCATCTTTTTAGAAAAGGACTTGCGAGCCTGACCGAGGAACACCAAGGTCTGGTTCGGGTAGCCGCTTCTGGCGCCAGATTCGAAAATGCCGAAATTGCCAGATATAATCCAAAATTCGATGAGAAATGCGCTCACTGCGGTTACCCGGACACGAGAGACCACCGCCTCACTGAGTGCCCAGCCACTGCAGAAGCAAGGGCAGATCATCTGCCCTTGCTCGCCAGATGGGACACAATATGTGAGCCGCTCAGGCTGCACCTGCTGCCTTCTCTTAGCCCCAAACTTGCCGAGTTTTGGACTACCATTCAGAATGTGCCAGGCCCTGACTTTGTCCCTAGACCACCTGGACCACGACTCACGTGGTTCACGGACGGCAGTGGGCAAAATCCCACCTCCAGGTTTTGTCTTGTCTCTTTCGCTGGGGTCTGCGTTGAAGAAGGTTCCTGCTTGCCCACTAGTAGCTTCCAGGGGATTTTGCCAGGTCCCCTCCAAAGTGTCGACAGAGGTGAACTTTATGCGATAATAGGAGTTTTGCAGCGCTGTCACTCCTGTGACATCTTCACTGACTCCAAGTACGCCGCTGAGTATTTTCACTTGCTCCTCACGCAAGGATGGACTGATGACCTTGGCACTAGGCCCAACTCGGACTTACTTGCCCTTGCCCACAGAACGATAGGCTCCAGATCTGTCAACGAAGTAAATATCCAGTGGGTCAAAGCCCACAGGGATCTTGCCTCTGCCATCTCTGGATCAGACGCCTTTCGGATACGTGGCAATGCATTAGCTGACAGTGAGGCCAACGAAGCATATTACCTTTGGGACGAAGCCACCCGGCGACTCGCAATCCAGGGTGTCGCCGAGGAGTCCAGCAGACTCAAGGAGTGGAACGAGCTTGCTGACCTGCATGTCAAGGTTGCCAAAGTCTTTGCCCATAAAACTGACAGGCATAAGGCTCCCAATACGGTTGATAACCTCGCCGAGACTGTTGGGAACCCTGGCTCGGACGCTTTCATTGATTGCGGTAACCTTCACTCCACCAAATCTGTTTTCCCTGCCGACTTTGTTTGGAGTTTTTGCACCCTCCTTTCAAAATTGCAATGGAACGATAGGCCTGCCCAAACTGGGAGTGGTACTCCTCTGATTTTTATAGGTCTCCTCTTCTTTTTGCATTCCGGCAGATCCATGCCCACACGTGACCATAACACTTGGTTCTGGACTAATAATAACGATCAAAGCATTAGGCGTCAGGCCAATACACTACTCATAGTAGTAAGGCTCCTTAGCGAATCGCTTGGCAGGGAAGTCATCCCCGGGTTCCTTAGATTCTTCAAGAAAATTAAGCCCGTCGCCCCACTTGACGCTGAGATCAAGTGGGCGGTCGTGCCCTTTTACTTAGAGAAAACTTCGTGGGACCAAGCCATACTTCTTGCTAGAGAACTGCAGGAGAGACACCCCCACTGGACCACCTGCGGTTTCCCCAGTGGCCGGGTCAGCTCTTGCATGCCTTTCAGGCCGACTCAACTGCTTCAGGCATCGCCAAAGGCGAAGTTTGCCGAGGCCACTTGGAGCCCGATTGCCATTCCCCCGCGAAGCGGAAACAACGTGCTCTCCCTGCTGCGGGGCGGTGGGCGGTGAGGCTGTTTCCTTCTTTGGGGTGTTTTCCGTTTGGTTTGGCCCCCCTTTTCTCTGGGGTTGTTTGGGGTTTGTCGGGGTGGTTGCTTTTCCCCCCTTTCTTTTGCGCAAGGCCACCGCCTCGGGCGGGCAGACACGGTGTACATTTCCATTTATGTGCAGCGGCAACAAGCCCTGTACACTCAAGGACGCAGGGATGGCTATGCGGTCCTAGATCCCCACAGAAGCGGATGGCTTTCCCGACGCACAGTTGAACTCATTGACCTTGGGGCTTGGTCCTATGTGTTCATCCCGAACGATTTTAGGTCCTACTTACATACCCTGAACGTCAATAAGCCATCATTGTACGGCAAGGATGGCTGTCGGGATTTAGTGGAATACCCCACTTTACTTACCCAGGAAATTGTGCCGTTTACTTTCACAGCGCAGCATATCTCAAGTGTCGCGTGTGCGCGCTGAAGCGCATAGGTTTGCCTCTCGGCTGCGCTGACTTGCGCAAATGTGCTGTAGCTGATATTTCAAAGTTGGAGCGCTCTCCAAAATACTTGGTGCACATGAATGCCCATGTTATGCCCGAGCCGGAACAAGATGCCCAATGGCAAGAGTTGCTCGCTTCGGGGTCTCGCTGGGACGGCTGTTCACGTCACAGGGTGTTGCATATTTTGGAATCAGCATGTACTGACCAGAGTGACTGATCGATGTTCAGGAGTGTTTCTCTTCACGGATTTCCGGCCGCTCACTCACTTGCTTGGTCGATTTGTCGAAAGTCCAGACTGAGTACAGCCAAATCAAAATGCAAATTCAAAAGAGACAAGTGCGTGAGACCCCCTGTGAAGCCGAGCTTTTTGTTTCGAAGTTCGAACTCATGTTCCACAATACTGTCACAATACGGAACAGCTTCACGAATGGTTGGCTTCCTTTGAGCGTCCATTAGCCATTCAAAAAGGAGGTCCCAAGTGTTGGGGTATCACTTCCAAACCTTTATCGGCCATGGTCCTATGATCTAAATCGCATGCTGCTCCCGCATCCAAGGCTGCAAAGAGCCAGGCCTCGATGCCTTTGTGAGACCTCAGCGGTCCTGTTTCACTTAGACCGAACAAGAGTACAAGAGAACCCTGCAATTTCGCAAGCCCAAACAACCGAGATTTATCCAGTTCGGGTTTCCATGTTAATCTGCAGGGGAGTACGTTTGCATGACACCAATGTCAGCAAACAACCGCAGTCCGCATCGAGGAGATTCACGTGACGAGACTCAAGCGATGACGCGCGGGAGTGACCCTCAGAGCGCCATTGCAACGCGGCGGAAAACAAATGTGTGTGCCGCCGCAAAGGATCGTGTGAAGCAGCAGCTGCTAAGCATTTGGGTAAATGCATGAGTGCGGACACGCAAAGACTCGTACTGATGCATGCGCGGACAACGCACAGACACACACACATAATGCACTGCCCCTGAACCCAGCGTGACACAATAGCAGAACATCACAAACACGGCGCATTGCAACATGATCAACGCAACAAATCCTCCCAGGTTTCGATCCTACAATGAAGGCAGATGATAGCGAAACTCCCTGTTATGGGTGCATACATTCAATATTTGTGGGGTACTCGTGCCGTGCTGAAGTCCAGTGTGCTTTGTGACCAGCGCCTTCCCTTTCTAGGCGGAAAGCAGGTTTAGGTCCAAGAGGTAAAGTAGCCATTGGTAATCCACCTTTCTGGTTACTGAAAATATAGACCAGGTCCTAAGGCTATTTGTTTTCCATGTAATGGTCAGCTTCCATTTGGCCAAGTTTCACGAGCTCAGGCACCTGTTGTGAAAAGCATTGTTCGCAAAGGGACCTTCCGACACTGTAGGGTATAGCAACCCTCAAACAGGCTGAAGCCACCACAAGACAAGTGTGGCATCAGTTCAATTTCGCTGTAAGATCATCCCACAAGCAGAGTGTGAACCTCTTTCAAACTTTGCGGCAAATCCTGTCCAAAAGGGTGGAGCTCTTCGAAACCTGAATTGAAATCAACCCCCAAACCAGGTGCAAATCACTCCCAAACAAGGTGGATCCCATTCTGAAATCAACCCGGAAGTGGTCGCTCGTGGCAGTGCCTGTGCCTTTTCATGATAGCCCATGTTTCGGGGGCTTGCCGTAGGAGCCCGGAGGGGGGTGCAATTATTTTAACACCTACTCAGACGGGTGAGTTTCGTGTCCATCTCCCATCAACCAACCGAGGCGTCAGCAGCAGCAGCGTGCAGACGCAGAGCAAGCCTTGAAGGCAAGCGCGGGCGCACCAGGTGGTTGACTTGCAGCCCCTCACTAGGTGTATCCAATTGAGGGGGATGGATATGTGTCGCTTGTATTTCGCACTCAGATCAACGCACCTGACCCCGGTTCATTGTTAGTTTAGGGACTGTGTTCAAGAAAGCAACATGAACCACACCATCAAACGAGTTGAGCTAAGCCCATGTTGGTGCTCAAGCACTTGGCTTCAAGGTCTGGGTCTTTTCGAATGGCTTCGACATGGTCTGATTTGATGGAGCCACCGTGTTTTTGGCTCACTCCTGAACCTATCGTTTGGGCAAACCTATCGTCAGGGCAACGGCTTTGCTGGGTGTTGGTTTTGTCAGCTTTCCTTGCACCCATTGCGGGTGGAATTCGGATGCCGAACTGCGATGTTGATACAGCCTAAGAAGACACGTTTAGAGTCAAAGCAGCCCGATCACTTTGAGCAGAACTCAACCCTGTTAATGAAGCAGGCTTCTCTGCATTTTCTTCAGACAGCAAGAGCACATGTGTTCAGATTCCCGTAGCCGTGCATTGCTCGCCGCTGCTTCGCAGCATCCACTTTGAGCCAGCTTCACCAGCTTGACGGGATTCCCACGATTGTGGAGAGTTGCTTTCTGGCTTCACCTTCTGTAACACCCAAGTCCTCTTCAAAGTGACGAGGTGTGACAAAGTACTCATGGTTTGGATTGGAATCAGCCACTTTCACATCACCAGGGAGGTATTTTCTCAAAACCACCCTTAGGACCCATTTTGCTTGGGTCCTGCTCGCTCACACCTGGGCTCGTTCCGGAAGGAACGCGCGCAATCTGCCACAGCGGCAGCTCAGATCCTCCCCGCCGCTTGGATGGGCTCAAGCACGGGGTTGTCAGGGACCCCGTATCAGCGCTGGAGGAACCAGGGACCCCTTTTGGTTTGAAGGTTCAGCAGGGGAGTACCGTACCCTTCATGCAATTTGAGCCCACCAATCCTTTGTGGGTGCCTCAAAATGGAAAGCGGGCCTGGAACATGGGGGGTCTTGACAGCCGAAACAGTTGTATCCTCAACACAAGACACGGCCTTACGGTGGAAGGCTTCGTCTAGACTTCCAACGGTTTGTTTCGGGGAGGATCAGGGAGGCACTTGTAAGGGACATCCAAAACGATCACGGGGGATGCCATCTATTTTCTTCTGCAGGCAATCCTGCATGGTTTGGCTTGATTATGTACCCGTTTAAGCTTGATAGCGGATTCGCGGGAACAGCTTTGTCTTGGTCATGTTGTGGGAGCTGAAGGCTGTTTCTGCTGTCAGCACGACCAACTTCAGCATCACTGTCAATTTGTTCCCTCGGTTAAGCAATCGGCTGAGGTCACCCAGAACAGGGCCAATCACCTTGAAGCTTTACTTGGTCAACCAGTTGTTGGTGTTACCTTGGAAAAGCTGGAAAAGAGGTGTTCTCCAAAAGCACAAGGTCTGCATGACCTCTGCATATCAAGGCTAAACGCTCGAAGTTCCACCGGCTGCATTTTCTTGTCCAGAAAGGTTGCTGGGGTCAGACCCATTGGTTTGCCCTTTGGGCCTGTAGCCGCGCAGATCCAAGTCTTGGAGTTTGAGATTTCCCAGGTGTCCATGCACTTCCGCAGAGGTTTCCTCTCTTTACCAGCTAGTGAACGAGAAATGTGTGTGTGTGTGTTTTTCTCGCTACAGGCTTGTGCTTTCCATGGTGTTCTTTCCCTTTGTCCAAGCGCCGTGCAAAAATGTACTTCCACCCCACTTCGATTGGCCCCGCAGGCCATGGACATGGCGCTGGAGGCTGGGGCGTCACGAGAGGCCCTGGACAAGGCGCTGCAGAAGAAGGCGCCAGAAGCGACCTTCGTTGGCTTGCAGTGGGGATATGGCTGTGGGTCAAAACCAATAGGATCCCATTTTTGGGTAGGTGCACCACCAGTTTAGAACCTATTTTAGTGGGGATTGGGATGGTCACTGGGGGTACGGGATTTTGACCCATTGCCATATGGGATACTCTCTGAAGTCTCCGAAGCTGTTTCGTATTAATTATAGCGTAGGTTACACTCCAGCAGATTCGCGTTTTTGTTTTTGTACTCCAGAGTTGCCTGATTAACATGGAACCTCAAAACTAATCTTTGGAGGAATATCCTTTTCGGGACGGTATCCTTGAGTTCCATGTTAATTGCCAGAGGGATTTCACGGTGTGACTCCAAACAAAATGTGTTTCTTCTTGAAAGATGGGGGCTGCAACCCGACCAATCAGGGCCACTTCCGCTTTCCAAACAAGACGGTGTTCTTCCTGGCAATTTCAAGGCGTGCACCTACCCCGGATGGATTGCTAGCACATTCCATGTGCACAATACTGAATGGGCACCAGCGGGCCCACGGTCCGTCAAGGCTGGGCCAGAAGCATCCGCCCTCTTTTGGGGCTCATTGGGGGAGTCTATGAAAACTACCTTTCAACACTTAGTGTAAACTGTCAACTTTTGTCATAGTTTGAACGAAGGGTTAGGATACTAAACCCAAGGTCAACAAGTTGCAACCTCAAGCTTAGAGATGTTGGTTCAGCAAGTTTATCCGGGTTGTGTTTGACAGGCGAGGTTCCAAGCATGGTTTGTCCAAGTCCATTGGACAACATCAGGGACCCGGACTTGATATGCACTGAATCCAACATGCAGGGCGAGCCTTGGAACTGCTGATGTTTCACTACCCCCACCCCCACCCACCTGGCAAGAGGGGTACTATATACCTTACATAAAGCACATAAAGGCGTCCAACTGGCATGTTGCACGACTGGGATCAGGGCTCAAAGTCACTGCAACGTATGCTCAATGACCCAAGAACTGAATGGCTGAGAGTGGCATCGTGTCAAGATGAAGTGCAACCTTTTTGCTAGAATGGAAGGAGTTCCTTGTTATTCTGACCCATGAGATCCATAATGTGTGTTGCCCAGCTGTTCGGGGGGGGGAAACTACTTCGCCCATTGCCGTGCGACCCTTGCACTGCTTTGACCACTCTAAGACCACCTGCCCAGCACCATATATTCAACAGCTAAGACCACCTGGCCAGCATCACAGAAACATTGGCAGCACATGAATCCTTTTGAGTGGAACTTTACCAAGGGACTTTCCCGCTGTTGTCCCCGGGCGATTTGCACAAGCCGCTGAGCATCCGCCATGCTCGCTGCGCGGCTCCGGGGTTGCCAGCCCTGGGCAAATGCAGGCGCCTGGAGCGAGACGTGGCGAGACAACTCAAGCCACGTGTTTAGCTGCACCTTCCCCCTTCTCCGAAGGGGTCCTTCATGGTCCCTATCTTCAAAATCCCTCCCCTCCTCCGTATTTGCTTCCCCGCTTTCCTCACATGTGGCACATTGGCAGGGAAATCCTTTCAAGCGGAAATTTCTTCTTCAGGCTCGCCCACAGGTGCTGTGTCAGTGGGACGAACTGCAAATTGCCAGGGTCTTCCGAAGCAGCTGCTCCTCCTCAGCAGGTTCCTCTACAAATCATGTTTTGTTGAATTTCCATCAATTGAATTTCCATCAAGGATCAGGTAATTCTTAGTGGTTTGGATTGGTGGGGATTTGAACCTGAGGCTTGATGGGAACCCCCCCAAACCACCAAACCACCAATCCAAATCAGCCTTTCCGAGGGAAGCCGAAGGGACGGCTCAGTGCATCTTCGTCCTCCTTCGTGCCTATCGGAGGCCGCTGCTTCGCCTCGAAGGATTGGGCCTCGCAGCTGGGGGGCGAAAACATCTCTGTGGACCGGCGGTTTCTGAAGGGCGCCAGCAGCCGCACCCCGGCGATCCGCTTCCCCAGCTATAGCTCCACTTGGAATATGTGTTGCTCTTAGATGACCAAAAAATACCCGAGCCCTTTTGGCGAAATGTTTGCCAAGGGAATCCCTCCAAAGGGAAAAGCAGCTGGCTTCCCCTGGCAACGCCACAAGGATACCGACAAAGGAACCCTATCAACGTGTGCCTGCAATGGGTCAAACGGCCGTCGTGTGGTCAGGGCCCGTAGCAGCAAGCTTTTCCGGCCAGATATTGTCGTATAGTTGGATGTTCTTTTGGACCCACCTGAGAATTTGGTTGTCCAGGAATCTTTACAATCCTACAAGAGGGAAGAGCAGTAGGGGGTTGACCAAGATGTAAGCATCAATACTTCATATTTTGCAAATCGTGTTTTTTTGGCTGGTGCCGGTTGCCGAAGGAACACCAAGGAAAACCAAAAACCATTTGCAGAGGCTCCTAATTGTGTAAGAAACAGCTATGTGCCACTCATCCGCTAGCCCCCCAATCACAACCATGCACTCAATTCCCACATTTGGCCGAGGTGCAGTTTTGCTGCATGCGCTTTGGCTGGACGTTTGGGTAGACGGTGGCAGAGCTGCAGCAAGGATTATGTTTGCCCACTTCATCGATACGGGGAATTCTCTCGTCGTATCTTGTGAGTTGAGAATATTGCACGCAGGCTTGCTAGAATACGCTCTGAGAAAGGGGCCATCCAACAGGAAATCATCTTCCAGATGCCCTGCTAATGTGGGAGGAGAAGCGTAGTGGAGTCACCCTGCCAAAGTGGACCTGAAGCATGCGGTGTTCAGCGGCTTTCCAGTTCCGTCCTTGGATTTCAGTTGCCTGCCATCCCTGGCAAAGAAACTCCGAAGCCTTGGAGAGGCTTCCACTCTTTGTCCCCATGACTTCTCGAAAAAGGGCGAGCAGAAATGGTGTTCAAACTTGAATCATGCATCCAAGGATTGACTACCATTTGTTTTGGTTTCATCGAACTCGGACTTGCTAGAATTGGAGGGAACCCAGCGCAAATCAGACGGGTGTCTTGCTTGATTTGTGCATGGGCTGAAGTTCTTTGGGAGTCTCATTCTGGGAATTTAGGTTGCCACTTTCTGTGATACCAAGAGAATCCCCTTTAAGGTGATTTTCAAGCAGTTTGCATGGTTGGATGGGAATCAGCCACTTCGGCAGCCTTTGGTATGACGGAAAGGCGCAACCAAGCCTTTTAAAAGACCATGCGCGCTGAAGTTGAGTCAAGGTTTGCAGGAGCCGGCTAGCCTACTACATAGGATCACTGACTTTCTCGAAACCATGATGGCAACCCTCGTCCGATTGATGGGACTTTGGTTTTTGATGGATCACCCATCTACCCGTCTATGGCCCAGGTTGGGACGTTTTGGTCCCAGGTCCTATTCTTTGGGCACCAAACTGTCGGCACTTCGAGCAACTCACTCTGAAACCTGAGGACTACCGTGACGTGAAGTTTCTGAAGCGGATCTCCGCCGCGGGGATCGCCGGCACCCTGATGCGCCTTCGACGAACGTTGACTTGTGATTTGTATTGCGAGTGCCGGTTCTGGGGTAATTATCAGTCATGATTCATGTGAGAATCAAGCGTGTAACTAGGTATCTAGCAGTGTTTATTGCAATCCAGCAGGTTGACATGAAGCCCAATTGAGAAACTTCGGTAGATCTGATGGTGCGTTGGAATCCACGTTCAGGAGACATAGGGGTTCTGGGACGGTATGCGCCAAGGCTTTGATTTCTCTCTGGTTTTGCCCGTGTCCGGACCCAGAGACTCCACGGCCAAGAGAAGAAGCCACTCACCGATTCAACAGGGGACATGCCGTGGATATGCGCGCCAAATCGGATTCTAGGTTGCCACTTCCCGTGATACGCCTTGGAAGTGATGAATGTAAATCATAAGAGATGAGAATCCAACCAGTAGTTGGCATCACAAGGGCCATTGCCGCCACCATGATCCCGCAAGGCTCACCGTCAGCCGCCTAAGCTTGGCAAATCCTGGCAAAAAGGTGATGCACCGATTTCACAGACAAATGAATCAGGTTTTGCAACCAATTTTTTCCATCCCCATTGGTTGCAGCTCAGGAGTTCCTCGGCGCTCGCTTATGCCATCACCCTGGGCATGCCTACGGACGGTCTGCGACAACCCTGGGAAGGGGGTTTCGCTTTGAGCTTTCCTTTTAGGCCAATCACATTCGAAAACCTTACCAGGATACCAGGGTGAAGCGACAAGGCCCGGAAATGGAGCCATCCCGAATCCCCTCAGCTCGTCCCAGTTTGAGCATCCCACGCTCCACCACCCTGCGGTCTGCAGGAGCGATGCCTGATGTTTGCCTTTCAGACCGCTGGGGCTGCCCTTGCGCTCCACGCGTACCTCCGAACGTGGCGTGGCTCAATGAAGGCAATCTATGCAATTGTGCCGGGTCTCCCAAGGCCCAAGGTCCTGCAATCTCTCGTTTCTAGGCCCCCATGCTTTTCCTCGAAACATCCGGGGCCCGCCCCTGCTTCATCCTGAGGACCTCACCTGGAGAAGCCTCCCTTAGGCTTTCAGTGTAGATGGTAGACTGGGTGCTTGATGGATCCAACAGGCAAGCACAGCTCCTGGCTGCTTCTTCAGGCTAGTGTCCTTCAACATGTCGCCCCTCGAATGGAGCCATACCCCCCCAAGTCCTGCGACCCGAATCAGAGCCGAGGTATGTGGCGCGCCTGGTCCTCGACCCAAAGCGAAGTCAGCTGCTGCTCACCGGCTGCTCCATCTTCGGGGCCCCCCGTGCGGAGGACGCACCACGGACCCTTCACACCTGGGCCATGGCCTTGACCCAAATAGCCTCCAGGGACCTTGGGGGAATTCGAGGATGCCAAGCAAATCCGCGTGTTTCCTCCATGCGCCCGTGAAAGTGTGAAACGCCAGGACGACGTGATCTACTTGGACCACCTCAGGCTCTGCGATTTGCAGCACAACGGTTTCAGGATGAATAGCAACCTCAAAGATGGCAAACCGAGTTGACTTCCACACCCAGTACACATTAATTGGTA